TGTTTGCATTTGGAATTCTTAATACGTCCCCAAAGCTTCATTCGTTCACCCCCATCACTGGCCTCTCCTCTCCCTGAACTCGTTTTCTTCTGCAAGCCCCTCAGAAGGGAGAAGTGAGATAAAATAACCCAACCATTCACCTCTCAGTGATTTCAACTCAGGGGGGAGCACGAGTCTCAAGGCTCAGCTCCCAAGGGCGCACTCATTCCTCAGAGATCACTCCCTCTCTTCATTTGTCCCCGTCCACCTGTCTGTCTCCTGGGTCCCATGGCAAAGAGGAGTGATAACCTGTCCAAAAATGTCATTGCTCATTACCCATGCGTAGCAGTGGCTGAAAGACAAGAGTTGAAGAGGCTTGTCCCGGACCTCTGCCTGGCTCCAGTCGACTGGCTCCAAACTCATCACTCCCCCGCTTAAAATCCCGGGGGGGGGCTCCTGCTGAGAACGGAAGTCACCTCTGCTGACAGCTGTGGCCTTCCAACCCGGCCCCACAGGACCTCCCGTTGCCATCGCCTGTCCTTTCCTATATTCCAGGGACGCAAGTCAAGGTCAAAAGTGGAGGAGAGAGAATTGGAATCCAGACCAAAATTATTCTGCAAGGTCTTTTCCAAAACATACATGCACATACCCTCACACGTACACAGACACACACAGTCATACACGAACCCTACACACACTCTCACACACACACCCTCACATACACAACGCCGCGCATGATATGCATACACCGGATACACGGGGCGGTGCATCTATAGGACGGTGCGCCCACCCTGCCCTTTTCCCTAGCAGATGGTTTGCACAGAGAAACAAGGAGGGTAGCAGGTGATCTTGGCAAAAGGTCAAGAATAGGGAAGTGTGTTTCCCCACAAATCAAAGGGACTTAACCCCCTGGGCCCCATGCTGTAGGCTGTAAGCCTGTGTGGCAGTTCCATCCACCACCCTGACCTCCCCTGCGACCAGAGGTCCCCCCTTGTGGCCTCCTCATGACCAGACAAATGTGGGGTCACTGTGTCCAATGCTCACATGCAACAGTGATGTAGGACCAGAATCATCATGATGTCAGCCGCTCACCTAAAATAAGCAAATGCTTCTTGTACCTGACAGGTGATTGCTATTCATTTTGCAGTCAGCGAATCCATAAGAAGGAAAAGTCAACAACGAGACCCGATGTGGGGGAAGAGGTCAAATATAAGTCTAGGATGCTGAATACGGCGGCAACAGGGCCGGCACGAGGCGGGGAGGCTCTGGAGCTTTAGAGAAGCCCTCCAGGGGCCTCTACGTAAACCCTTCTGGCTCCTCGCCGGGGGCCGAGTCCTGCTGCCCGGGGCTTTTCCTCAAGCTGCAGCCTGGCTACCAGGAAACCTGGGTCGTCCCCTGAAGTTCTATTCAGAACCCTAAAATACAAGACCTAGAACAGATCTCTTAGCCAGATTCTTGGCAAATTCTCTGCACTTGATGGAGAGAACTGAGCTCCAGAGAAAGGGAATTGACTCATCCTACGCCCAAAGCCCAAAGTCCATGACCAGTTAGTGGCAGAATATGGACTGAAATCACATTGGGGGGACTATCCTTCCCATGTCACCTCCATCCCTTGCATGGCCTGAAAACTCTTCATCCTTCAAGCCTCAGTCAGATGGACACCTCCTCTAGGAAGCCTTCCTAACCTCCTCCTTCCTTCCAGTTAGAGCTAGAGACCCTCTCCCCTCAGCCTCATTAGAGAACTCAAAGCCAGGTGGATCGCTCTGACTCTACGTGTCTCCACACAGTGGACACGGGCACCTGGAACAAAGGAAGGATGTCTAGTTCGTTTTCCAAACCCGGTACCCAGCACTTGGTATGGCCCAGTCAATGGAAAGTATAATGAAGGGCACATCTGGGTCAGCAAGGAGCGCTCTCTGCATGCACCACGTGACCCTCTCATTCTGGCTGTCTGAGCTGAATCCAGACTGGCGCATTTACTCTCCGTACCACTCAGTTCAACCTTTAACTGTTTCCTAAATGTTTCATGCTCTTGGCTTTTGTGGTCCTGACAGGACTACGGGAGCTAGTATGACACATGGCAGGTCTTTCCCAGAAGGCCTGGCACAGGGGCTCTCAGCTTTGGCTACACGGCGATACCACCTGGGGAGCTGTGACACCCACCCAGTACCCCAGGCCACCCCCCTGGGAGTGGGACCTGGGCATCAGATAATTTTAACTTCCCAGGTTGGTTCCAGCATACAGCCAAGATTAAGAAACACATTCCTGGAAAAATGTAATACCAGAAATTGCTTGTTGATTCAGCCGGTTCTGCATGCGGGTAATATAATATAATAAATAGAATAGAATAGAATAGAATAGAATAGAATAGAATAGAATAGAATAGAATAGTGAATGATAGTGCAAGAGACACACAGAATAGAAGAGGAAGAGGTTGTTCAGCATTGTGTAGCCAGGGTTCCTCACCCTGAGCAACGTGGACATTTTAGGCAAGATCATTCTTTGTTACAGGAGCTGCCCTGTGCTTTGGAGGATGTCTAGGAGCATTCCTGGCCTTAACCCATTAGATGCCAATAGGAAACCCTCCCCCCTCCCATCCCCGTGGTTGTGACAACCAAAATGTCTCCAGACACTGCCAGATGTCCCTGGGGATGGGGGAGGAAAATCACCCCTGGATGAGAACTACTGAGGTAGGCTAGCCACCAAATAATTTATTGCATCTTTATTTCCCATTTCAACTGTAGGTCACATGAGCACTTTTCCAAATTTGGCTGAGTGGCAGAGGGTTCTGGACACTAGGGTCAGTGTCTCGGTGAGGGACATGCAGGGCTGGGCTGGACGCAGGATGGATGGAAAATGGTTGGTGGGGTGAGCGGGGAGTTCTGAGGAAAGAGAGAATCACAAAGAAACTAGATAAGGTAGGTGCAAGGCAGTTAAGTCATTGGTGATCAGCCTATAAAAGATGATCAAAAATAGAACAAAACCAAAGAAGCCAGACATTCAGTAAAATCACAAGGTTGTCACAGGTGAAGGCCAGTGGCGACCAGACGCCAGGAGGAAGGAAATGGTCAGAGAAGGGGCTCTTGGAAGTTCTGGGCAGGGAAAGACCTCTCCAAGCCATGGTTGGGGACACAAGTCTAGAATGGCATGGAGGCTGACACGGGGCGGGGGGCTGGGGGCGGAGCGCGGGAGGCAGGAAGCTGATCTGCAATGGTTCAACCCCACCTGCTGCAACAGTCCAAACTCACCTGTTGCCCGATGCCTACGATGCCTTCAGCCCCTGTGAAGACGGCTCTTCCCCAGCCAGAGCTCAGAAAAGCCAGGGGCAGGTGCCAGCAGAGAAAATGCCCAGGGGCCAACTCCACTGCTGATTAAAGCCTGTCTCCTGGGCACCTGGAGGGGAGCAGCTTCCTGGCTTCTCCCAGCCTCCTAGGGCCCCTGAGGAAGAACCTCTGGAACGGGCCCTCCAGACATCATGCCAAAAGCACAAGGGACCAGTTAGAGCCCCCAGGGACCCTGGAGCCAGGCATCCTGCTCCCCACCCTCTCTCGGTTTCCCCAATATCTCCCCACATTCCTTCTCAGCCCCTTCGAGTTCCTCCTCTTTGGCTCACCTCTGAGTGTTGGCATCCCCACACTTCAATCCGGGGCCTCTTCTCTTCTAACCACTTCTCAAACCATCTGTCTAACGCTCCAGTCTGCACTTCCCCATCTGAAAACTCCCATTGTCTTCCGCCGAGCACAAGATAAAGTCCAAGGTACTCCAGCTCTTCCTGATCTTGCACCTGCCCTCCTCCCAGTCCCCCTCCACCCTGCACTTAGATAGTCCAAGTCACATCTGACTGGAAGGAAGGAAGGAAGGAAGGAAGGAAGGAAGGAAGGAAGGAAGGAAGGCGAGCCGTATTCACTCTTGACAGCCTGAAGTCCCTGACTCATTTCTAAGCCACTTTGTATAACAGCCATTCACTGACTTCTCTGTGTCTGCTACCAACTCTGAGCAGAATTCCAGGCAACAGTCTCTGCAACTTGCCTGGTGCCTGGTACTTAATACTCAAAGGAGTAGTTACTGTTTGTTGAGTATGATTATAAGTGCCTTACTAGGAATTCCTTTACTTTACCCTTATAAAGTAGTTATTTTATGTTATTATTTAGAATAATAACATTATAGGAATGTAAGTAATATTCATTGTTACCCAATCTTATACACAAGAGTCCAGAGGTACAGGAACATGAGGCGAGGCACCCAAATTCACACGGGTAGAAGAGGGGGAGCCTCGCCCACACAGTCTGACCCAGGGCCAGCACTCTTCTGCACTGTGCAACACTGCATTTTTTTTTTCTGTTTAATACTGCATCTGGATAAGAGACTTTTAAATGAGCTCATCCTGGTAAAAATACCAGGGATGTCGGTACTCCTGCCCCAGGATGGGGAGACAAGCAAGGCCAGGGCCAGCAGGGTCTGATAGCACCCACACAAGTCACAAAGTGAAGGAATGGACAGTGTCCTGGTTCAGAAAGACGAGGCAGACGGACACCATAAACCCACAGGGCAGGCCTGAGGCTAAAGACCGAAATCAGAGGCATGAGGTGAGGGCAGAACCCCACAGGCAGCAGGGCAGAGGGTCTGCCTGTCCAGACAGAGCTCCGTTGGCTGAGGATGCTGGTCCGGCTTGCTGGACACCCAGGAGAAGGGGGGAAGATGCAGTCGGCACCGGCTACAACACACAGCTCCCCAGCATCCCGTTCAGGGGCGATATCCCGCAGCCCAAGGGAGATCCTGGGATTCTGGCCAACAGCCCCACTGTGTGCATTGTAAATACTGTGTGCAGAGCCGGCGAGCGGGGCTGGCCCCTCCGTAGGAGAAAAGGCGTGAGGAAAAGGTTGAGCTGCCCTTCCCCCTGCGACAGAACCTCCACGGAGCAGTGGACACTGGGCTGGCACCAGCACCCGGCTTGGTTTCAGAATGCATGAGCGGGGAAATGATGGCCCCTTCCCTGCAAGTAACGGGATGCCTGCACTCACCCGCATGGGCTCGTCAGGGAAGCCGGGTTTGCTGGGCCTGTCCTGGCGTCGGGACCTGAGGAGCTGCTTGGCCTGCTTTTCCGTCAGAATCGGGGAGGACCCTGAAAAAGCCAGGAAGGGGCCTGAGGGATTCTCGGCACACCTGTGCATGCTCCAGCTCACAGGCCAAGACCAAGGATTTGCAAGTTCAATTTCGGTCAAACACAAAAGTTCTTTCACAGGGACCTGTCCCAAAGGACATGGCATTCCAGAGGGCTCCGGGAAGAATTCTGAATTGTTCCTGACATGGGAAACCCAGAACAAAAGCTGCACAACTTAGACTTACCTATTGCAATGGTGCATTTCTTAAAAAGTGGGAGCTAATTTAATGAATATGGGGTTTTTCTTTTTCCTTCTTTTTTAAGTCATCTCTCTACCCAACGTGGGGCTCAAACTCACGACTCAGAGACCAAGAGTCCCACACTCCACCAACTAAGCCAGCCAGATGCCCCTGGATAAGTTTTTTTAAAACATATTTTCCTCAGTTCCCTGGTCAATATGTTTCTTGTCCCTTAGGTTTGCTTTGATGGTTTTTTTCTTTAAATCCCCAAAACACTAAATCAACTAAAACTTGTTATTGGAAGATTCTCCATGAGAACAAGATTGTGTTAAACTTGATAATCACACGTGATCCCTCGAAGAAGATATTATGATAATAAAATTATATTGTTTTAATAATCAAACATGAACTCCAAATGATATCATCACATAAAAGTCTGTGAAGTCTTGATGATCTCATATGAACTCTAAAATATGGTACAGTTGGGGCGCCTGGGTGGCTCAGTCGGTCAGGTGTCTGCCTTTGGCTCAGGTCATGATCCCAGGGTCCTGGGATCGAGCCCCGCATCAGGCTCCCTGCTTAGTGGGGAGCCTGCTTCTGCCTCTGCCCGTCCCCTCTGCTTGTGCTCTCTCTCTGGCTCTCTCTGGCTCTCTCTCAAATAAGTAAATAAATAAATAAATAAAATCTCTAAAAACAATAAAATAAAAGATGGTATAGTTAAAGATTTATCAGCATTTCTGAGAATTAATATTCAAGCACATTTAAAGATTTTAAAAAATAATCTATCTCTAATGATAGCAATTCTGGGAGTCTGCTCTTGGCAGGGGAGTGTTGAATTATCATATATTACATATTCTTTGACATGAAAACAATTTTTAAATATAAAATAGACTTATTCCAGTTTATCATGTCAGCAGAGAAATAGGCCTTTTTCAGAGTGGATGCTCACCTGTGAAGCAAGTCAGTAAGGTAAGGGAGAGGACAATCACAAAAAGCTTCTCCATCCCGCCTTGGTTCCCGTCTCAGCCTCTTGCAGAATGAATGCCCCCCCGCCACCCTGGAATGGGCCAGCCTACTTGAAGGAAGCCACTTCCGGCCCCAGGCTTGTTTACGCTGTGATAACTACACTTACGGTATGATGCTAAGTGCATCTGACTCTGAGTTTTTAGTATGACCACTAAACTATTTTCCTCTGAATCCCTGTCAATTTTCATTCTGAGCAAGAAAATTACCCCTCTGTGATGTGACTTTGAGGGCACGAATTTGAAAAAGCAACATTGATATTCGCTTCATTTAAACAGACACAGCTACATCATACAGTAGTTTGTGAGTGTCTGTAGCTTCAGAGTATGCTCCTACTGTTTACATCTCTTTCATTAATCACCTCTTACATTTGCCCATTGTATGGCATTCCTCCAAAGCCGGTTCACCAATTTGATTTGACCTTCCTAAGAGTTTCAAAGGTAGGCGGGGAAATTGGCAAGGGCCACAGCAAAGGGGGAAATTTTTTTTCAGCTGACTGTGGAGCCAGAAAGACCAGGGTTTGTGTCCTGGCTTCACCTCTTTCTAGCAACGTAACTTTCAGTAAATCCTTACCCTTCCTGAAACTCGGTTTCCTCCCTATCTTGTGGGTGTGATTAAAGATGAGGGATAAGTGGCAGCTAGCACCATCTCCCTTTTACAGGTAAGGACGTGAGGTTTGGAGAGACAGAACCATGATCAAGTTCACACATTATGGATGCTGAAGTTGAGCCAAACTCTTCAGTCTTTAAAGGCCACTGCTCTTCCCATTATGCCCAAAAGGGCCTCCCACAACAGGCTCTCAGTAAGGGGGGGTAAGAAGTCCCCACTCCAGACTCAAGGTTATTTTTGTAAAGACAATAAAATCTCGGTAAGCTGACATCCTTTTGAGTTCAAATCATCTATAAATATTACATAAAGAAATGATCAAATATGTTCTTAAAATATATCTAGAAGGCATGTGGCATTTATGGAGATGAAATCCTCAATTCAGAGAAATGATCCCCTGTTTCTGTGGTCACTTGGCCAGGTCAAAGGAAAACAATGCCCCCTCTGTAGTTGTCCGAATTAATGCTAATGTTGTGTAACTGATATTGAACCTAAATGTTCTGCCTACTCTGTTGGTATAAAGGCAGCTTGAACAAATTGTAAACAAGGGGGGAAATCATGCATTGTCAGCAAAGTTGCTCAGAGTTAGATCTTTGGTTTTATGCTCTCTGTCACTGTTAACCATCCTTCTATTTTTATATTGTTTTCAATAACTGAGGAATTTTAGGAACATTATTTTAGGAATAGATATTTGTCATATTAAACATCTTGGGGTTTTTTATGTGCATTGTCAAATTTTTCATTGCTTTTGCTCTTTGTGGTTGGAATTGAACACTAACTGTATTGTTTTGTTATATCAAAAAAATACCTTCAGTGGACCAGAAAAAGAAAATTTATACCTAGTTAGAAATTTCTAATGTGTCCAATGTAAATTTGCTAGAAAAGTATTTTTAAATTCAGTAATTTTTGTCCATATCAGCAGTGTTCAAAAAAAAACATAATGCGAGCTACAGATACAAGCCACATACATAATTCAAATTTTTCTAGTAGCCACATTTTTTTAAGTAAGAAAAAGGTGAAAAAAAATTTTTTTAAGATTTTATTTATTTACTTGACAGAGAGAGACAGAGCGTGAGAGGGAACACAAGCAGGGGGAGTGAGAGAGGGAGAAGCAGGCTTCCCGCTGAGCAGGGAGCCCGATGCAGGGCTGGATCCCAGGACCCTGGGACCATGATCTGAGCCGAAGGCAGACGCTTAATGACTGAGCCACCCAGGCGCCCTGGGGTGAAATTTTTTATATTCTATTTTATGTATCGTGAAATGTCCACAATATTATTATGTCAATATGTAAGGAAGCTAAGCAAATTATTAATGAGATATTTTGTTATTTGTTTTGTACCAAGCCTTCAAAATCTGGTATGTGTTTTTACACTCATGTATTTCAAGTGCTCAGTAGCCACATGTGGCTGGTGGCTACCATATTGGACAGCACGGGTCTAGATCTTTCTGTCTCTGTGCCCACCACCTGATCTAGGCTCCTGTTACTCCTCACCCAGCTTCCGCCACCAGGCTCCCAACTGGTCTCCCAACTTCCTTTCCTGTTCACTTCGATCCATTTTACACGCAGCAATGATGACTTACTTAAAACAGAAAATGGACCTCATCATTTCCCTGATTAAGAATCCTTTCTTGGGGCGCCTGGGTGGCGCCGTCAGTTAAGCGTCTGCCTTTGGCTCAGGTTGTGATCCCAGTGTCCTGGGATCGAGCCCCATGTCATCATTATGGGGCTCCCTGCTCAACGGGGAGCCTGCTTCTCCCTCTCCCTCGACGCCCCCCCCCCGTTACTCATGCTCTTTCTCTCTCAAATAAATAAATAAATAAATAAAATCTTAAAAAAAAAAATCCTTTCTTATTTTCACTGGACTCAGAATAAAATCAGAATCCTTCCCATGCACCACAGGACCCTGTTACCTGCTGCCCTTTCCAGCCCCACTCCGACCACTCCCCTCTAGCTCACTGTAATCTAGCCACACTCCGTTATTTTCAATTTAACAAACTCTTTCCCACCTCAGCACCTTCACATATGCTCTTCCTCGCTCTTTTAATGGCCGGGTCCTTCTCATCCTTCAGGTTTTGATTTGAAAGCTCTCTTGCTCAGGCAAGCCTACCTCTACCAACCTAATAAAGGTTCCCTGCCCCACCCCCCACCATTCCACTCCTTTCATAGCACTCACCATAATGTGTAAATACTGGTTTTGTTTACTATTTAAAATCTGTCTCTTCCACTGGACTATAAGCTCTAAGGAACCATGTATTACCTTTGTAATAAAAAGAGAGAGAGAGAGAGAAGGAACCTCTGGTGGACTGGAGAGGTGCTACTAGAGACAGTCAGGTGCCTGTATCCCACCGTGGGATGCTGGTTCAAGGTCTCAGGGGAAGGGGCAGAGGGCTCTTCAGGTGTGATGGCTGGGCCATTTTTTTAAAGATTTTATTTCTTTATTTGAAAGAGAGAAAGAGAGCATGAAAGGAGGGAGGATCAGAGGGAGAAGCAGACTCCCCACTGAGCAGGGAGCCCGATGCAGGACTCAATCCTGGGACTCCAGGATCTTGACCTCAGCCGAAGGCAGTCACTTAACCAACTGAGCCACCCAGGCGCCCCTGGCTGGGCCATTCAAATGTCCCTCTGTCAATATTGTCCTAAAGGGGTAACTATAGGAAAACTGAAAGAGCAAGGTCACTTTGTAATGAGTGTCACTCGGATGAGGAGAATTCTTTTCTACCCCCTACCCCTGATTCTCAGGGAAAGATCAATTAGGTGAACCTGCAGGGCTCCCAGTTGAAGGTGCAATTCCCAAAAGCTCCACAAGGTGGCAGCCTAGAGAACAGAACCGGGGACAAACAAGGTCGGGGTGGGGGTGGGGGGGGAACTCAAGGCCACCAAGGTTAACTATTCCAGAAGTTGCCAGGAGTACCAGGGAATCCACTGGAGATGGAGAGATGGCACTGCTGTGCCTCGGACTGTTTTCCTAGGATTTTAATCAATCTCAAGGTCTTCATTAGATGCTGAGGCCTAGGAAAGCTGCATTACCAATTCCCAACAGAAAGAATGCTACCACCCATGTTCTCAGCATCCTAACATAACTGATATTTCCATTTGTGTGGGTTTCCCATCTCTTTGTAAAAGGAATTCTTGGGGTGCCTAGCTGGCTCAGTCAGCACAGCATGCAACTCTTGTTCTCAGGGTTGTGAGTTTGAGCTCCACGCTGGGTGTAGAGATTGCTTAAAAATAAAATCTTTAAAAAATAAAAAATAAATAAAAGGAATTCTCAAATTACACTGATGTTTAAGGATCGATGATAAACCTGACACCATCAAGCTCCTGACATCATCACACCAGATACTTTCTTAAAAGGATAAGACAGTGGGGACACCTGGGTGGCTCAGTCGGTTAAGCATCTGCCTTCAGCTCCTGTCATGATCCCAGGGTCCTGGGGTCGGGCTCCCTGCTCAGCAGGGAGTCTGTTTCTCCCTCTCCTTCTTCCCCTCCCCCTCATGCTCTCTCTGTCTCTCAAATAAATAAATAAAATCTTTAAAAAAAAAAAGGATAAGATAGTGATTTCTTTATTTTAAGATTTATTTATTTATTTGAGAGTGTGTGTGAGCAGGGGAAGGGGCAGAGGGAGAGAATATCCAAGCAGACTCCCACTGAGCACTGAGCCCGACAAGGGGTTCAATCCTACGAGCCATGAGATCAGGACCCAAGCCGAAACCAAGAGTCAGATGCCCAACCGACTGAGGCACCCAGGTGCCCCAAGACAGTGATTTCTAATTCTCTCAGCCAAAGAAACTTCAGAGACAAGGGAAACATCTTTAAAAACAAAAATAGAAACAAAAAAAATTATAGAAAGATGCTGAATCTGTCCCAAGAAAATTATAATGTGTCCACTATCTTTAGGCCCAGAGTCAATTAAATAACTTCTAATATTCCTTTTTGTAGTTGTTTTCATTTTTTTTACTATCTACCTTCCCCACTAGACTATAAACTCTGTATTTTTACAGTATACAAATAATTCTCTTATAATTTTTATAATAGTCCCTCCATAAGCTGCACATGGACCCTATACATGTTCCTTTGCAGGCATGTTGTGCCTGCAGGTGTCAGGTGTGGGCAGGTGCGGTGGGTGAGATTGTCCCCATCGACTCGTCACCACCACCATCACGTATGTGTGCTCTTTGCCATATGACTTTGCAGTCCTGCCCTCCGACCTTGGGCTCAACCAAGGGACTTGCTTCAGACAATGGAGTGGTGTCAGACACAGCACAAACAAAGGTACATGCCATGTGTTTGTGCACCTAGGTGCACCCTCTTGCATTTCTGTCATTGCTCCAAAAAGAGCTTCCCCCAGACAGCTGTCCCCCACCCCCACTTCAAGCTGAATCTCAGAATTAACTCAAATGGAAAGGAATCTGAGCAAGGAGCTCAGCCCACCTAGCAGTGGACCCACTCAACCCCACTCAGCTCACCGGGCCTCCAGCCACCACGGCATGAAGCACAGCCACTCATAACCTGCAGATCCTGAAGATTACATGCTGTTATCTTAAGCTGCAGAGTCTAGGAGTGGTGTGTTACACAGCCTCACTCTGACAACAACTAACCGATACAGGGGGTTCTTATGAGATGGGTAGTGTGTCCAAACCTGGGTGCTCTTGGGTCCAAGTGAATTATAGGGTTCTGACAGAAGCTTCACTCAAGAGTGAATGAATATCTACTGTGTAGGCCATGTGGAATCACGGCCAAGATTGTGGAGCACAGAGTCATCAATGAATCCTGGCTCCGAAACTTAGTACTGGGTTGTAGTGAAGCTGTAATTGGGCAGATTTCTTGACTCTCCAAATTACTGTGTTCTCATTTATAAGAAAAAAATAATTATTATAATATGACTTGCCTCTCAAGGTGTTTTGAGAACTTAAAAAAAGAAAATTAAAAATAATAATAAATAGAAAAGTTAATTTTAAAAATAAATTAATAAAAAAAGAGAAAGTTGGGCACCTGGGTGGCTCAGTCGGTTAAGCGTCTGCCTTCGGCTCAGGTCATGGTCCCAGGGTCCTGGGATCGAGCCCCGCATCGGGCTCCCTGCTCGGCAGGAAGCCTGCTTCTCCCTCTCCCTCTCCCTCTCCCCCTGCTTGTGTTCCCTCTCTCTCGCTGTGTCTCTCTCTGTCAAATAAATAAATAAAATCTTTAAAAAAAAAAGAGAGAGAAAGTATATGTAAAGTACTTGACAGATACAGGAAGGATTTAATCGTTGGAAACCCCTGTTATTATTGTTATTAGTAGCATGATTATTATTATTCCTCCTCTCTTTGTGAAATCACCTTTGTTTATATTTGCATACCCATCCCGTTCTAAGACATGTGATAGAAGGTCTATAAAACTGTTTTCAATGACCAAATGATACAGAGATTAATCAAACACATATTAAGATACATAATTCTATATATTGTTGAAATAAAAATCCATCTTTATTAGAAAAGAAAATATGGCCCCTTTTCAGTAGGAGTTGATATCCCAGCTCTGTCTCCACACCCCGTGCCCTTGGCTTCCCTTTTCATATCCTTGGTATTTCTACACAAACACACATCTTCCTGTTTGGAGCAGTAATACAATGGTAAGATGGTTTGGCCTTGGACAGGAGCCTTGCTGGCCTGTTGCATGCTGCCACAAGTGGGCTATAATTTCTGCTCTGGGTCCAGGACATTGGCCCCGACTTACATCTGCCCAACAAGTAAGGACAGCCAAGGTCAGCGTCGGATTCCCGATGGCCAGTGCCAGGCTGCCCTCCAACCTAAACAGGAACGACAGGGGCACTGGCAGAGTGTAAGAACGTACAGTGGTACAAATAAACACACTAGGGGAGAGGAGCATGGACCGAATAATTTGTGAAACCACTTCTAAGGCTGCTGTCATATTACACTTCATTCAAGAAAAGGGCTTCAGCTGGGAGAGAAAAGCTCAATTCTTCTGGGGAAAAGATACTGAAGCTTGTGTTTTTCTCTGTGGGATCTCAGTTGGGACCATCAGCTTCAGAGAGATGAAGAGACACTCTGGCGGTGGTTCTCTAAACTTAAGCTGCGTTAGAATCACCCGGAGGTTCATGAGACATCTGTGAAAGCAACTCACGTGGAAGATGAAGACAAAGGAAACCAAAGGGAAAAGCAACGTGCAGAAATCAGAAACCATGCGAGGAGAGGAGGGAAAAACTATCCAACACTATCCTCTGAGAGGCAAGAGAACATTTCTGCTCCCATGAAATGTGAACAGGATGCTGTAAAAAAAAAAAAAAAAAAAGGAATATTCCAAAATCAAATCAACAAAAGTTCTTAGAAATTAAAAAATCAATAAAAAGGTCCAAAGACAGAGCTATGGAAATATTTTAGAAAAATAGAGCAAAATTGAGAGAGAGAGAATGGGAGAGAGAAAGGGGGATGGGAGAGGGTTTAAAAAAAAAAGAAGCAAGAGAGAAAAAATATTTTTAAAGAGAGGACATTTCTCCAGGTGAGTTGAAAACATGTCCATACAAAAACCTGCACACAGATGTCTATAGTTGCTTTATTCATAATGGCCAAATCTTGGAAACAAACAAGATGTCCTTCGATATGTAAATGGATCGTCAATAAACTGTGATAAATAATATTCCAGACAATGGAATAGTATTCACCACTAAAAAGAAATGGGCTATTGGGGCGCCTGGGTGGCTCAGTCGGTTAAACATCCAACTCTTGGTTTAGGCCCAGGTCATGATCTCGGGGTCCTGAGGCGGAGCCCCATGTTGGGCTCTGCGATCAGCAAGGAGTCTGTTTGAGATTCTTTCCCCTCCCTCTCCCTCTGCCTCTCCTCCCCCACTCATGGGCACACAGGCTCTCTCTCTCTCTCAAATACATAAATAAAGAAAATCTTAAAAAAAAAAAGTGTCTTCTTCAGATGTGGTAATCTCTATTAATCTGCCCTCACACAGATAAATTTCCCAGATGATTTTCACTTAGGAAAGAAAGACTATAATTGTTTAAAAGAGAAGCTTCCTTAAGCCTTAAACCTTTCATATTCTTTACCTAAATGTGAGAATCTGAGGAGATAAACCTAAACAGAGGAATTATATATCATAGCAAAATATTAGAGACAAAGAGCCAAAAACAGAGGTAAGTTTGCAACTGTGAACTGTCTTCATAGAATGGAATATTATGCAACTATTAAATACAAATTCATAAAAAGGTTAAAAGTTATTGTGTAAATGAAAAAATAGCCAGACAGAGAATATATCTACCATATAATCAAAATTACGTATGGAAAAAAAGTAAACCACAGTTTCCATAGAAATTAATGAAAAAATGTGCCAAGATGTGCAAACACAGGTTGTCTTTGGGGTGAGAGATGGATGATTCTTCTTCCTTTTTCTTTTCTACATTTTCCAAATGTTCTATAATGGGAATTTTTTTTTAATCCCTCAATTTTTAAAAGTGTATTCTTTGTTATGTTTTCAAATCGAAACTAAATTAAGGGCTCTGCCTCAGCTAGGAGCCACAGATGTGTATGGCCAGGATCAATCTTCTCCAAGCCTCACGATGGCTTACACTGGTCCCACCTTCACCACAGCCAGCCCCCAATCTTCACAATCCAGATGGTTAAATATTTTTGCTGACTACTCAAATGTGTCCCGGGAACCCTCAACATCAGCATCGCTGGACCGTGTGTCAGAAATGCATACCCTTAGGCCTCTTCCCCAAGAAAGGGAAATAGAATCTGCCTTTTAACAAGATCCCCAGGGGCAAGGTTCTTTGAAATAAGAGACACTCTGATGGTTTGATTTGGATTGAAGCTAACTTGGATGACCAACTTAAAAGGATCTCAGTCCCAACATTGGCTTTGGGGCATCAAGCCTGTTTCTCTACCGGTCTATGCCTTGGTTTTCCTCATCTGGAAAATGGGGATGATAAACTCAGCCTGGTGTCTAGCAAGCGCAGAGATGGAAGCTGGGATGCAGTAAGCCATTATTAATAGGTCTAAATAAATGCTTCTTATCGGGCTTGTTACAACAGGCCCGGCACTCTGCGAGTGCTGGGACTCCTGGCACAGTGCGTGGACCACAGTTAGCCAGCGTGTGTTTAATAAACTGGCAAGCACTCAGGTGACATCTATCAATTTTTGACCTGGATTGTCCCATTCTTTTAGTATGTAACACTCAAAACTGCCAGTTTTCTCCCTTCCATCATTCAAAACGTGCCAGCTCCCACCTCGGCCAGTGAGGGAGGTGGGGGAAGGTGAAGGTCATAGATAAGCTTACTGTAAATCTCTCATACTAGAACTTCCTACGGCTACACACCGGCGCGGTTCAACCTCGCATCCTCTCTACCGCCCCCACCTTACTGTTACTCCGCCCACTGTTCTCCCTAAGCCACGCCCACGGCCCAGCCCCTTCCTCTGGCCCCACCCTTACCCAAGGCCCGCCCCCCCAGGCCCGTCGGCCTCCGCGTCTCTCCTCACACCTCCGCCCCGCCCCGGGGCTCGCGCCGCAGGCCCCGCCCCCGCCCGCGGCCGCGCCGCCCGGCTCGGCGTGAGTGCGGCTCGCTGGGCCCTTCGCCGGCGTCGGCGCCTGGACAGGCTCCGGAGGCGGGCTCGTGCGGGCGGTGGCGCGAGGGCAGCCCCAGCCCTGGGTCCCGGGGCCGCGCCCCCGCCCACGCGAGGTAGGGCCCGAGGGGCGGGCGGGGCCGGTCGCGAGGCCTCGGGAGAGGGGTGAGCGGGTGGAGGCCTGCGGGAGGCCGCGCTCGGCCCGAGCAGCTGCGCCCGGGAGCGGAGTGCGGGCCCCGAGCTAACGGTCCCGGGCGCTGCCGGCGCCGCGCGGCCCACGTGCGCCACACTGCCCAGAGGTCCGGGCGCCCAGCACCGCGGCCGCCTCCTCGCCGAGGGCAGCCTGTCCATTTCTCTGGTGCCCGACGCGGGGAGGAGTGTGAGCGCGCTGGGCGCCGCCCCCTCGGCGCGGCTCGCCGGAGGCTCCGGGGTAGAACCGCCGGGAAGATGCGGCGCTTGCGCCTCCATGGAGACAGCGGGGCCCCCTGGGCGGACGGCGCTCTCGGGGTCCCCTGAAAGGCGGGGGGCGGGCGGGGACCGCGAGCCCCGGGTGGACCCCGCCTGTTTGTCTCCCAGTTAGAAATCGGCCTTGGACAAGATGGAAGGGGAGAAGCGGCCGGCGCCCTACGAGGGCCTGTTTGCCGACGGGCACCTGGTCCTCTGGACGCTGTGCTCGGTGCTGCTGCCCGTGTTCATCACCTTCTGGTGCAGCCTCCAGCGGTCGCGCCGGCAACTGCACCGCAGGGACATCTTCCGCAAGAGCAAGCACGGTTGGCGCGACACGGACCTGTTCAGCCAGCCCACCTACTGCTGCGTGTGCGCGCAGCACATTCTGCTGGGCGCCTTCTGCGACTGCTGCGGCCTGCGCGTGGACGAGGGCTGCCTCAAGAAGGCCGACAAGCGCTTCCCGTGCAAGGAGATCATGCTCAAGAGTGACGGCAGGGCCCTGGACGCCATGCCCCACCACTGGATCCGGGGCAACGTGCCCCTGTGCAGCTACTGTGTGGTCTGCAAGCAGCAGTGCGGCAGCCAGCCCAAGCTCTGCGATTACAGGTAAGGACTTTGTGCCCCAGAATGCGGCGTCGGAGTCAGGATTTCATGCAGTGGGCGGAGAGGCCTACCTTGATCTCTGCAAATGGCCTAAACTGCCCACTTCGAGGAAACAAGCTCATAAACGTCCCTGGAATTGGACAGGCAGGGCAGCTTTGCAGTAGTCATTTGCCCAGATGATACGTCCAGTCCCCACTCCTCAGCCAGCCTGCCCTTTTGGGTAATGAAACTTGGCACTTAACTTGGATCCGGAGGTCTCTGAGTGCTGCAGACTTCATAGCCACGGTGTGTTGTATTTTAGCTTTTGTTCCTGTTGATTATCTCCATTTTAAGTAAGGAGAATCCAAGTATGGACAAATTAGCTTTTCCCTAGACTCACCAAACTGATCCTTCTCCTCGGGGTATTATGAATGGGGAAATGAATGAAAATGAGTGTCATTCCATGGCAGCATCAGAAGCATGTTTTTCAAATCTAGATATCGCTGCTGTCGTGAAAGATAGCACTTAGAGGGACTCTACTTTAGCCAAATGGCCTTCCAGGACATGTAGCATCTCAGACAAGAGTCTTTGGTTAAGCCAAGAATATTTTAGCGGCTTCTGAATACACACATGGGACAACACATTAATGTTCTTTAAATACTGTCTGAAAATAGGGAAGACACCCTTTGTTGTTCTTAGAGGTTGGTAGGAAGGAAGGCTGATCTGCTCTCATTTTACAGTTGAAAGAATTTTACTTGGTGGTAAAATAGACCTGTGTCTGGGATGTCTAACCCGCAGATTAGGGTTAGGCACTCCTAGCCTTGGCTCAGCCTTAGGTCTGGACATCTTCATTGTCATGAGTTTAATTTCTGACAAGTGGAAAGGGCCCTAAGAGTGTTTAGGAACTAAATTCGAAAGCTGACACTGGATGTCAAGTTACTTTTTAATTTTTGTCTTTATTTTTTGTTTTACTTCAAAATCCCCCCCCCTTTTTTTTTTTAACTTAGCATGAGCACTGTAAGGTCAACACCTATTTTTAAATCTTATTTTTAACAATTTTACACATCAGCTTTAGACTTAAGTTTTCAAAAACATATTTTAAACAACTACTGAGTTTTATAACCATTAATTTTTATTTGGTATCTTTCAAATTTAGATATTGTTCTTTTGGCATCAGTGAGAGCTAGGTTACCAGCATCTTTAAGTAAATTTCATAATTCTCTCTATAGGTAAGCTTTAGTTTTCAAAACCTAGGATTAGTTGGAAAGATGACATGACTTGCATCTTACTCCCTTCCCTTCTTTGTGTCTGCAGAATTAGATAAAAATGGCTTCCATAAATACCTTAACTGTGCTTCACATACTCCTTAACGAATAATCCTAGTAAACCCCTTCAGTTGCTCCCATCACTTACCCTGATGGTCTTTCAGTGTAAACTTCCAGTGCTCACCATGATACCCAGGGTCTTACGTGCTCTCCGGACCCCGCTTACCCTTCCAGGTTTACCTACTACCACCTGCATTAAACTTGATGCACCAGCAATGCCGAGCTGGCTGTGCCTTCCTTAAAATATCAAGCTTTTTTGTTCTGCCCTTCTCTTTCTCAAGGCTTTCCTCCCCTAGCTAGTTTCTAGGCATCTTAGAGACTCAGCTCATGCCCTTTCCTCCAGGAACCTTTACCTGATCTTCTACTCACCCCCAGGTACCAGTCTTTCCTTCTCGATGATGACATAACATCCTGTATTTCAGTGGTTCTCAAAGTAGGTTCCCCGGACCAGCAGCATTAGCATCATTTGGAAACTTGTTAGAAATGCACATTCTGGTGTTGCCAGATTTAGCAAACAAAATAAAACATTTCCAATATTTGGGGTAGACTTATACCAAAAAAACTGTTTATCTGAAATTGAAATTTAACCAAGCATCTTCTATTTTCCTGGCAACCCTACTTTCACCCCAGACCCACTGAATCAGAAATTTGGCCTAGAGACCAGCAATCTTTGCTCTAGCAGGCCCTGCAGGTAATTCTAAAATTGTAGAATCACTGCTGTATTTATGTACCTTTTACAACATCAGCCTCTGTCCTTAATGAGGTATCCTTCCCTTTGTGCACAGTGAACATGATGATTTTTTCCTCACGACCTTGTTCTTACCAGTTACTGAGCAGTCTTTTCCCAGCATGCTAGAACCCCTCAACCATGGTAGAAATTATCTCTGTATAATTTAGGAAGTGTTTACTATCCCAGGATAGAAAAGAGCACAGTGTCCTGAATGTTTTGTAGTGTTCTGATTTATTTTAGCCAATAATGTTATGCAGGATTACTGTCTGCTGTGACCTTCTGTAGGAATTAGATATTTCTGAAAAATAAACAAAATAAATATCTATTTAGAACCTTTAAACACAAGCCAGACTGTCCCTCTCTGGATTTTATCTAGCCCTGGCAAGGGCTCCTTCCATGTCTGTATCACAATCTAAGTACGAGACTTAAGTGAACTATAAAGACTCAGGTAATAACTGATTTTAAAGCCTGCAGCCCACTTAAGCTCTGCAGAATAAGTGACACAGGCCCTTTAATTTATACTCATTCGGTCATTATTTAATTTTCACATAGCAAGCATCTATTTTGTGCCAGGCATTGTGCCAGATTCTACTTTCCCTGTAGATTTTTTCTCTTGTGTGTGTATTCCCACATCTACCCCCAATCACTAGAATGTGTTTCTGCACCTAGTATCTTAGGCCCCTTTGCTGGTCTTTTCTTCTTTCCACCTCTCTTCTGACTAAAATAGGGAATTTTGTTATAAGTATTTGTTACAGTTTTTAAATAAACCTTTCTTCCTCATAGTATTCCGTCTCTTGTTAAGAAAACTTAAGGTGCCTTTTTATTGATAAGACCTTTTCTTCATTACATCCTGTCCCTCCCCACCACACACACACACACATACACTGATTAATGAAACAAAGCTTCTGACTTTGAATAGGTACATTGGCCACTTTAGTCTCCGCTTTGATCTTTTTTTTTTTAAGATTTTATTTATTTATTTGACAGAGACACAGCGAGAGAGGGGACACAAGCAGGGGGAGTGGGAGAGGGAGAAGCAGGCTTCCCGCGGAGCAGGGAGCCCGATGTGGGGCTCGATCCCAGGACCCTGGGATCATGACCTGAGCCAAAGGCAGACCCTTAATGACTGAGCCACCCAGGCACCCCTCGGCTTTGATCTTAAACTTTATGTTTCTGTGTTCTCTTGGTATGTATTTATTCATTTCATTCATTATCTGAAACGGTGAAAGATACCAGATCATCTTCTAGAGCAGAGGTGGGCAAACTTTCTATAAAGAGCCAAAACTAAGTATTTTAGGCTTTGTGGACCCTTACTTAACGCACTGTCCATCATAGTACAAAACCAGCCCTAGACAGTACATAAATGAAAGGGGATAGCTGTGCTTCAGTAAAACTTTATTCACAAAATCAGGTGGCAGACATATTCGTAGTTGGCCAACCCCTGTTGTCATGGGAATATCATACATGAACATCTCAACGTGACATGTAGTTCTGCCGCCTCTTCCAGCAAACTAAAGAAGAGAGCCATCATCAACAGGTAGCTTTACAGAAAATAATAAGCAGTGTTGCCAGTAGTTTTTTTCCCCTTGTAAAGCTTCTTTTTTTCTTTTTTAATCTTTTTTTAAGATTTTATTTATTTGAGAGAGACAGAGAGAGTGACAGAGATGGCGAGAGAGAGCACACAAGCAGGGCAGAGAGGGAGAAGCAGGCTCCCCGCTGAGCAGGGAGCTGACACGGGGCTCCATCCCAGGACCCTGGGATCATGACCTGGGCCGAAGGCGGACGCTTAACCGACTGAGCCACCCAGGCGCCCCTGTAAAGCTTCTTTTTAAAAAAATAAAGCAGTCATACTCCTGCACAAGAATGGCACATAGGGTGATGTTCTATGTCTTGGTAAAGGTTTTAGTTACATGAAAATGTTCATTTGTCAAAACTCAGCCAATGTACTAATTTGTACATTTCATCACATGTAAATTTTACATCAAAAGAAAAAACCTATAAATAAATGATGGGCTCTAGGTAATAATATGCCTGCTTGGTGAGGCATTTAGGAGGTATCCTGATCTACAGTTTACTTGAAATGCACCAAAAATTAGGTGGATTAATGGATGGATAGAAATGTAACAAAGCAATTACAGTAAGATATTAATGCTGAAATGTAGGTGGTGGGCTTATCTATGTTTACTGTAGGAAAAAAATCCTAATGCAAAACATTTTAAAAAGACTGTATTTTGGAAATACTTGTTGAAGTATTGAGAGGTAAAATCTCATAATGTCTAATACTTTCAAATGATTCAGGAATATATGAGTTCACATCGAAAGAGATAAAGCAACTGTGGGAAAAAAATATTAAGAATCAGAGTGAAGGGTTGGCTTACAGTCATTTTGCTATACTTTTGACTTCTGTGTATGTTAAAATTTTCAAAGTAAAAAGATAAGCAATTAGTCAGTGATATGATTGCTGAAACTAAAATATCAAGACATTGTTAGTAATGTCTTATTTTCCCATCAGGTTTGAAATCTAGATCAATTTAAACACTAATTACAAAATACATAAAGAGACCAGTCCCGATTTTGAATATGGTATTTGTAAGGAAAAGTATAATGTTGGATAGCTAGCATGCATTTTGGCTCTACCTTTACAGAGCAAAGGCTGATGATAGCCATCATTTTAGGTAAAAGAATCTTTTGTGAAATTGATGAGAATGTAGTAAATGATAAAGGTGTCCCAAATCAGTAGGGATAGAAAAGATTATTTTATGAATTGTGCTAGGACAGGTACTCCTTGGCGGGGGGGGGGGAAGCAAGATCTTCATATCACACTATATACCAAAATAAACCCCAGATGGATTAAAGCAGGGGCTCTTAGTTCACAGATGGCTAAGATTCCAAGAAATCCGGATACTTTCATGAGATTCTCAGTGGAACCTGTAGCCCCAGAAGAAGCACTGAATTAAAGACAGAGATACGAAAACTGAATTGAGGGGGGCAGGGAGATAAGCGAGTGTCTAGTTTGGAAATGGTGAAGGACTTCAGAGCATAAAAGCATTTAAATAAATCACAAAGGGAAATAGATATCTATCAAAAAATAAACTGATGTACAGGAAACAAGTTTGTAGTAAATGTGACAGGAAAGAGGCTGATATCCTACATCAATAAAAAGTGCATGAAATTGGGCACCTGGGTGGCTCAGTTGGTTAAGCGACTGCCTTCGGCTCAGGTCATGATCCTGGAGTCCCGGGATCGAGTCCCATATCGGGCTTCCTGCTCGGCAGGGAGTCTGCTTCTCCCTCTGACCCTCTTCCCTCTCGCGCTTTCTATCTCTCATTCTCTCTCTCTCAAATAAATAAATAAAATCTTTAAAAAAAAAAAAAAGTGCATGAAATTATTAAAAGCTAGTAAAAGATGGGGTGCCTGGGTGGCTCAGTCATTAAGCGCCTGCCTTCCGCTCAGGTCATGATCCCGGGGTCCTGGGATCGAGCCCCACATCGGGCTCCCTGCTCCGTGGGAAGCCTGCTTCTCCCTCTTCTTCCACTCCCCCTGCTTATGTTCCCTCTCTTGCTGTCTCTCTCTCTCTGTCAAAATAGATAAATAAAATCTTTAAAAACATAAAATATTTAATGGCATAGAACGACATTCATGAGAACATGGAAAGAAAAGTACTGTCCGGATGTATATACATATATCATATCCCTCCTGAAAAACAAGCATATGTGCACAGTAAAACTGAGAAGTACATCAAAAAGTTACGAGGAACTGTCTCTGGATGATTTTTATTTTCTGTCTTTCTGATACACTGATATTATTTAAAATATAATTTTAAAAGTTTATGAAGGGAGTTCATGAATATACTCTAGTTTTCAGAAACTCAAGCAGTACAGCAATACGGAAGAATATGGAGTAAAAGGGGAACATTCTTCTCATCCCTCAGTCCCACTTTTCTTCCCAGGGGACAGCAATGTGAAATAATTCAGGAGGACCCTTTCACGTTATTCTCAGTAACAGTACCCTACTTGAAAGTGACTAGCGCACGCAGTAGGTGGGGTTGGTGGACTTGGCCTGCAGTAAGCCCTCTGTTGTGGTTTCTCAGGCTTAGTTCGAAAGCAAGTACTAACAAAACATATGCAAGTGGTTTTACAGTTTTCTCTCTAACAGATCCTGCAGATAACACTTCTTTCAGCAGTAAATAGGACTCCTGAGTAAATATCAGTAATCACTTGGCAAATCTGAACATCCATCGGAAAAAAACAACCTTAAAATAGAAGTCCCGAAGGGTTGACCTTGGGCGAAAGACTTTTATCCTCTTTTTTTTTTTTTAATTCATTTAATTATAACCATTATTTTCTGTGGGCCTGCTTTTGTCTGTATGGTCAGCTCTGCCTTGTCAGTAAGTGGATTAAATTCTTAGCAGATTAATAATGAAAACCTAGGACCTTTTCCAGCGCTATTCTCTGCTTGTTCCACACACACCCATTCTGAGAGGCAAATCAGAATGTAAATGTCTTTTGTCTGTATTTCAAATGCAAACGTATAGACTAGTTTTGTATTAACTGCCAACAAGAAATTAACTATTGTGCTATATTTACTAGAGTGTTCACAGATGGTCATAAGTTAAGAGGTTTTCAAACTGGACAAACTAGACTGAGGAACACTTCAAAGATCCAGGCCAGGGGGCATTTAATTAAGATTCAGAACCACTGTTCTAGACCCACTTTTGTTTATGTGGATTATGTCTACTGGCATTTACCATGTTACACATTAAAACTGAGAAACTATTTAAATATTCATTTTTTAAGTAATGTAACAAAATATTTTAATGAAAATTTAGTGAGAAGAGCGACACTGTTTTACTTTTTTGGTACACTTTTTTAGTTTAGAGGCCACCTAGATTCTCCTGTCTGCTTCTGCATTGGGTCTGTACACTCTTGAGAGAAGGAAGATAGAATAACTGCTTGGTATTATTATTAAAGGGTTTTTGTTTTTTTTTAGTAGGCTCCACGTCCAGCGTGGAGCCCAATGTGGACTTGAACTCATGACCCCCAAGGTCAAGACCCGAGCTAAGATCAAGAGTCAGACACCTTGGGACGCTTGGGTGGCTCGGTCAGTTAAGCATCTGCCTTTGGCTCAGGTCATGATCCCAGGGTCCTGGGATTAAGCTCGCCATTGGGTTCCCTGCTCGGTGGAGAGTCGGAAATCTGCTTCTCCCTCTGCCTCTATTGCACCCCCTTGCTTGTGCACGCACTCTCGCTCTCTCTCTCTGACAAGTAAATAAATAAAATCTTAAAAAAAGAAGGGACACTTAACTGACTGAGCCACCCAGGCGCCCCTTATTATTAAAGTGATTTTGACCTCAGAGTTGTCCTGAAAGGATTTTGGGGGGCCCCAGACCACACTTTAAAAACCACTATTAGATTACACTGCCAAGTATGTTCAAACTTGATTGCCCATTTTCACTAAGTAGAGAGTTGTAAATCTTTTATTTGCTCGATTTTTTTGTCTAATAGTGATGAGATTACTATTAATTTTTTTGACAGAATAATCGGTTTACCCATCATTAAAATTATGGTTTAAAATTAATTGTCTTTGTTTCTTCCTTCCCTCAGGTGCATTTGGTGTCAGAAAACAGTACATGATGAGTGCATGAAAAATAGCTTGAAGAATGAAAAATGTGATTTTGGAGAATTCAGAAACCTCATCATCCCCCCAAGTTATTTGACTTCTATTAATCAGATGCGTAAAGACAAAAAAACGGATTATGCAGTGGTAATCAGAGTTCATTTTTCCTTATGTAATTGATTTTCATAAAGCCGCTGAAGTCCCGAGTGTGTGACAGGTACAGAGTGCGGAGGGAAGAATCGTAATAGCGGGCCAGAGAGCCCTGCCCCGTATTCAGGGAGGTGCCTCAGAGTTTGGCTCTAGAGTCCTTTCATGTCTAGAGGGAAATTGGAAATGTTCTCTTACTGGTTTCTCAGTCACTGCCTGCATCTGAGTCACTTGGGGAGCTTTTTGAGAATGCAGATTCCTGAGTGCATCTCCCTCACCAGCTTTGATTTAGTGGGCCTAGGGCAGGTCCCAGGAATCTGTATTCCTTTAAGATCCTCAGAGGACTCATAAACAGCCAGCTTTGAAATTCATTATTACTATCCATGAAAAGAAAACATGGATTTTCCTCACGCATTGTTCTAACAGAATTTTTCTACTTAGAACTTTATGTAGGGTGCCTTGAGATAAGTTTACCTTGCACATTCGGTGCTCTTTACAAATAATTTGAACATTAAAGCTGTCAGTGACACTGCAGTATGTATGTGTATGGAAACTGATAAATATGTGTCTCTCTGTATGTAGTTCTTAAGGGATAACTATAAAAATTTGCATTTATTTCCTACTTGAATATGCCAAAATAATTGAACTATTTTTTTTAAAGATTTTATTTATTTATTTGAGGGAGAGAGAACATACAAGCAAGGGAGGGGCAGAGGCAAAGGGAGAGGAGGAAGGAGACTCCCCGCTGAACAGGGACCCTGGGATCATGACCTGAGCTGAAGGCAGACGCTTAACCGACTGAACCACCCAGGTGCCCCAATTAAACTATTTTATTTCGAAATTAAATTATGTCTTTTCCAATTAGGATTTTATATCTTAAATGTCATCTTTATCGGTATTCCTGCCAAAGAAAAAGGCATTTTAAAATTTAAAAACATTGGGGCATCTGGGTGACTCAGTCAGTTGAGTGTCTGAGTCTTGGTTTTGGCTTAGGTCGTGATCTCACAGTCCTGAGATCGAGCCCAGGCTCCTCACTCAGCATGGAGTCTGCTTGTCCCTCTCCCTCTGCCCTGCCCCAGCTCACGCATGCTCATTCTGTCTCTAAAATAAATAAATAAAAATCTTAAAAAAATTTTTAATGTTATGATACCTATTTTTTAAACATAGAATCCCCTAATATATCTAAATTCAATCTGAGATCCTAAGGGATGAGAATCACTATGTAAGACTGTGGAATATCTCCATTCATGTTTACATCCACAAGGAGAAGGGGAGAAGAAAGAAATGGAAAGGTTAGAGGAACATGAATTTCATTTGACTCTGGCCTTTGCGCAAATCTGGATTCTTGAATCTAATTCTGAGTACCCCATTTTTAATTATTTTTAATTAAAAAAAAAACCTGCAAACTAAAATATAATAGAATACATCCAGAGAAGGACAGTCAAGGTAAGAGCAGAGAAAATCTGTGTCCATTCTGTGAACAGTTGAAAGAACCTAAAATGGATCACCTAGGAGACAAGACTGATAAAAGATCTAATGCTTCAGGTGTTTGAGCACAAGTTCAGTGGAAGAACAAATAAAATTATTTCTTGTAGCTTTAGGAAGCAAAATTAGAATGATGAAAGTTATTGAAAGACAGATTTTTAACTCTGTTTAAGTCAAAACTTGCTAACAATTTGAGTTAGTAGTAGAATGGGCTACCTTGTTAGTTCCTTCCTACATGAGTATCCAGGCATCACCAGGTGACTTATCTAGAATAATGGAGAAGAGAATTAGTACAATAAGTGCGAGTTAAATTATTCATCTCTGAGTTCACTTTCCATTCCTAGAATTCTTTGATTTATATACTGTATTCATTGTACTGAGATAGTTCTTTTCCCAGCAAATTTACAGCACGGTTGTTACCAGGAAATGAAAATTTTATTGCTCACCATCTTTGAGATATTAAACCCTTTTCACTCACATTAATTTTTTTAGCTAGCCTCTAAGCTTGGAAGGCAATGGACCCCGTTAATAATCCTGGCCAACTCTCGTAGTGGAACGAACATGGGAGAAGGGCTGCTGGGAGAATTTAGGATTCTCCTAAACCCAGTCCAGGTAACTAAAGAGAAAATTTAGTTAATCTTCTGTGTTAATCGTGTCATGTTTAGCTTTTCATTTTCCATCGTTGTAATGGTGGTTAATGCTTTAAAACAGTCGCCACTCAATTACAGAAAGAATTTTAAAAGTATCAAGCCATTCAAATACATGGAGAAAGAGGTGCTTTCGTGGTGAGGATATAAAATGGTGTAGCCACTTTAGAAAACAGTGCAGCAGTTTCTTGAAAAATTAAACATAAATTCACCATACCACCTACCAATCCCATTTCTAGCAACCGACCCAAGGGAAATAAAAGCATATGTCCCGCAAACATTCATAGCAGCGAAATCCATAATAGCCAAAAAGTGGAGACAACCCAGCTGTCCATCAGCCGGCAAATTGATAAATTTGTTCCCACACAAGGGAATGTAACTCCATGAGAAGCAGGGACGAAGTACTGATGCATACATGTTACCAAGGGTGAGCTTCAAAAACATGCTGAGTGAAGGAGGCCAGGTGCAAGGGCCTGGAGAGTGTGGCTCCACTTACTGGGCTTGTCCGGAAAAGGCAGGTGCACAGAGACAGGAGACGAGCGGCCACCCGAGGCCAGGGCTATAGATGGGGAGTGACTGCACCCAGACCCTGAGGGGTCTTCTCAGAGCAATGATAATGTTCTAACCTGGATGGTGGTGGTGGTTGCACAACTCAGTAAACGTACTAAAAATCATTTAATCGTTCACTTTAAATGAGCATTTTGTTACATGCGCATTATACCTCAATTTAAAAAATGAGAATTAAAGGATTGAGTTTACATGGTAGTAGCTTCTACTTTGAAAAATGTTAATAACCCATGCAGCGATCAGAAATGCAGTAACTTTTTTTTCCTTCCAATTTGTATTTTTCCCCTTCAACATTGTACAACTTAAGGAAACTATAAAAATGATAAAAAGGAAAGAAAATCACCTGCAGTTTCCCCACACGAATACATCTCTTGTTTTCGTTTGTCCGTGTTCTTTCCATGAATTGTCTGTGCATCTCCATATTAACATTATGGTAACAATAATCTAGATCTAAAATTTGTATTGTTTTAATTACTTAATATTTGTCCATGGTGTGATATAGTCTTCATAATTAGACATGTAATGAGGAAGATAATTAATTGAATGGATATATCATGTTCATCCAGTCTCCTGCTGTTGGAGGTTGAGTTTGTCTCTAAGATTATACAACTGTAAATAATGCCGCACTGAATACTTTTATAAACACGCATTTTTGGTTTTTGAAATATTTTCTTAGATCATTTACAAAATTATAGGTATCAAGGATCCTTGCATCTTTTTGTTATTTTATGCATATTGCAAAACTGTTTTCCAGAAACATGCTCTGACTTGCACTAGTCATGGATGTGAAGAATCCAATATAAAGTATGAAGTACTGGTTAAAGATAAACTTAGCACATTCTGGTTTCTTGTGAACAGGAAGGAGGCAGTGTTGTATCATGGACACGCCATAGGATCGAATTTGTATGTCAGCATGTAATTACTGGGGAATCACGGGCAAGTTACTCAACTTCCCTGCGCCTCCACTTCCTGGTCAACGGAATGAGGCTCACTCATCGTTAAGTAGGGTCAGTGTTGGGAATGTGCTGCAAGGAACCTCAAGAGTCTGGCATGCTGTTAAACACACCATAGCCAGGACTCTTCTTCAACCATATCCATGCTCATCGGGAGTGACAGCACCCTCACAAATGAGGATGGCGTTGGATAAAAATAATTTTTCCTTTTCTTTCATTTCTAGGTTTTTGATGTAACTAAAACCCCCCCCATCAAAGCGCTGCAGCTTTGCACTCTTCTTCCCTGTCACTCAGCCCGCGTGCTTGTCTGTGGGGGGGACGGCACTGTGGGCTGGGTCCTGGATGCGGTGGATGAAATGAAGATTAAGGTATCAATCTGTAAGACCTGTGTGCCTTTCACAACAGGAGCTCAGCCGCTCCGAGGCCGCGAGGCGCTCTTCGGGTCCTGTTTTGTATTATGCAGAGGAATGTTAGAAAACATTGCCAATTTTGAATTTCATGACTAAGCACTTCCTATGACCTTCAGCAAAACAACCGTCGTTATGTTGTGTCTTTCTCGCTTGGTCTGTGAGTTTTACCAAATACTGTGAGCCTACGAGTGGTCTGAAGAGAAGAATCTAACCTGTACCTCCCGTTTTCTAGGGACAAGAGAAGTACATTCCCCAGGTCGCGGTCTTGCCTCTAGGAACAGGCAACGATCTGTCCAACACCCTGGGCTGGGGCACGGGGTACGCCGGGGAGGTCCCGGTCGCACAGGTCTTAAGAAACGTGATGGAAGCGGATGCGATTAAACTGGACAGGTGAGCGGTACTTCCCCCAAAAGGTGGACTTCTGGAGCTTCGGGAATATCGTTTGGTTTAAAAATGAAGACTTATGTAGCTCCCGTGTAATTGAAACGTATAGGTGCTGGGCATTTCTTTTGTTGCTGCCTATTGTGTTGTCATGGAAGGACTGGAGTCACATGAGGCTGAGGACTTACCTCAGAATTTGTGTCGTTGCTTTGATGTGCTCATTTCTTCAAATGCTGTTTTCATAGAAGAACCTCATTTCCAGGCATACAGAGTTGACTGGTAATAATTATAGTTAACAGGTGGTTAATTTGGTAATAATTACCTTTTTTTTTTTAATTTCTGTTTTTTAGGTGGAAGGTTCAAGTAACAAATAAAGGGTACTACAACTTAAGAAAGCCCAAGGTATGTGTCTAGGGCCTCCGCGGCAACAGGTTCCGCAGCCGTGAGGCAGTGGCCCCTGTATGGGGGTGGCATGGTGCTGGGGTACAGAGCCGTGGTGCTCCCTGCCGCCGGGGGCTGCTCACAGAGCAGAAGAGAAACCCACACGCTCAGCCCCCCACGTCGGACTCAAAAGAGGGCCGTGGGGGCAAAAACAGCAAGGGCACTCAGTGCCTCCCTGGCAGATCAGGCAGGAGAGATTTCAGGGGAAGTGACTTGTGAGGTGGTCCTTACAAGGTAAACACGATTTAGACCAATAGAAAAAGGAACAAAAGACTCTCCAGGCAGAGGAAGTAGATCCTGGGGGATGCAGATCCTGGGTAGCAACTACTGCGGAGATAGCAGCTCTGTATTTTCTAGCAGATCCTCTGGGGATGAAGCGAAAATAGCCTGGAAACTTGCACGAGGGCAGAACAAGGGGCCTCTCAGCAGGAAATCGGAAGACATTCTAGAGGCGGAATTAAGCGAGACCTGGCAGCTGATCGGTATTAGGGGAGGAGAGAAGATATTATACCACATTTCTGGTTGTTAACGGCTGGATGTATGGAAATGACATTAACCGAGATAAAAAGAGTTTCAGGTTTGAGTAAGAGGAAAAGGAGTTAGATTTGGGGCCCCTCAACTTCGAGGCTGTGGCACACTGGACAGGAGTTGGAGATGCAGGCTTAGTGCTCAGGAGCAAGACAGAGCTGGAGATGGAGGCGGGTCCTTGCGGGGTGGGAAATAGATGAAGTGGGGACCCTGCAAGTTGCTGTGACAGTAAAAAGCACATGTGATGGAAACACAGGCGTGGAGAGCCTGGATGCAAAGCAGAGCCGGGCTGGACGGTAAGATCTGAGGCGTAGCATATTAACCAGAAGAGCAAAGGGAAATTCATATGGATTGTGACCGGCCTTTGAAATGAAGCTTTAGTTCTGGAAACCACTGGATAGTATCAGCTCTGAGTGAAAAGTAAATGCAGAAAGTATAAAATTTTCACAAAGAACATAAAGACTAAGGTTTACATATTTAACATATGTCACAGGCTGAGACTAAGCATAATCTGTCACTTCCTCTTAATCTGTCACTTCCTCGTACCCCCTCCCACAGGAATTCACAATGAACAACTATTTTTCCGTTGGACCTGATGCTCTCATGGCTCTCCATTTTCACGCTCACCGTGAGAAGGCGCCATCTCTGTTTTCTAGCAGAATTCTTAATAAGGTGTGTTGGATAAAATAACATTGCCTGCTTATCACCGAAGGTACAGTAAAAATCAATAGTTTAATTCTATCTAGCATCCTTTCAAGTAGATTCAACTAGAACTTACTTATGGAAGCATTTACCTGCTCTGTTTCTGTGTAAGACTGTCAAATTAGATCCTTAAGTGTATTTTATCAAAATATAACTCTGACACACTTTTTTTAATTCAGAGAATGTTTTACAAAAGCACATTTTGTTTAGCAACTAGATGGAAAGATACATGATCGCTTATCTCATTTATTTATTTATTTATTTATTTTTAAAGCTTTATTTATTTGACAGAGAGAGACACAGAGAGAGAAGGAACACAAGCAGGGGGAGTGGGAGAGGGAGAAGCAGGCCTCCTGCCAAGCAGGGAGCCCGATGAGGGGCTTGATCCCAGGACCCTGGGATCATGACCCGAGCCGAAGGCAGAAGACGCTCAACGACTGAGCCACCCAGGCGCCCGATTGCTTATCTTATTTAAATGGCAGCTAAAACTGCAAAGAAATTTTAGGCAGGAGAAAGTTTTTATGAAATCATAGTGGAAAAAGAGATTCCTTTAGATTCAAAAAACTCCAAAATGCCGATGAAGTAAGAGCAGTTTGTTTACCATGGCCTTTTTAACTATGATCATCACTCTGATTTCTAGTACAAATGATTTCCTTTGGTGGAAGTTTGATTTTGTATTTTTTTTTCAAAGATTTTATTTATTCATTTGAGAGAGCACAAGCAGGAGGAGAGTCAGAGGGAGAGGGAGAAGCCGGCTTCCCACTGAGCTGGGAGCCGAACGTGCGGCTCGATCGCAGGACCTGGAGATCATGACCTGAGCCAAAGGCAGACGCTTAACCGTCTGAACCACCCAGGCGCCCCTGAAATTTTTTTTTTAATGGCATTTGGTGATTGAGCAACAGGATGTGAAAATTAAATGCAAAACAGTTTTCCTCCTGGTTTTGTTTCACAGATATTTCAAATTAACAGTCTCCTCTTACTCATAGAGTTACTAAGGCAGTGTACTAGTGTTGCTGTTTGTTTGTATGATTAGTAATTCACATCTCAGTGCTTTCATCAACCTTTCTATATTCAAAAGTGATTATAAAATGTTCACTAGATTGATCTGTATTCCTTTCAGTAAGTAATCTGAAGTATTAGGAAAAGGTAGAATTTTGTAATTTTAATATAGTATTTCTTTATAAAATGCAGCTTTTTGGATAAACTGGGAGAAAACACCATTTAGGCACGAACCACACCTATCTCACATTCCCTGTGAAAAACGGGCTAACTCAGCTCAGAGGTAGTGGTGCCCATTCTTCCATGAGAATCGGGTCCACTCTAAGGAAACATGGCTTGACGGTCATGTCAGGAAACTGCTATAGTGTCCTCGTCTTGCTTACAGAGCTTGTTAGGTTGCTTTAATATCCCCTTTTCTATCCATTTCTCATAGGCTGTTTACTTATTCTATGGAACCAAAGACTGTCTAGTGCAAGAATGTAAAGATTTGAATAAAAAAGTTGAGGTAAGCTTTTAAAGTTTTAGGTGATTATAAACTTTTTTAACAAAAATGCTGAATTTTCTGTTAACATATTATGCTAACATACATGGAGTATTTATTGTGTGCCAGGACTTTATTAAGTGCTTTATACACATTATTCCCCTAAATTGTCACCATAACCCTGTAAGGCAGGTACTATTATATTCCCATTATGCAGAGGAGAAAACTGTGGAATTAAGTAATTTGCCCAAATCCACACGGTCCCCAAATACACATATAACCAGGATTCAAACCCAGGTTTATCCACCTCCAGTCTGTTTAACTGATGCTGAACAGCTTCCATTTGTATTTGATGGCCCATGCTAAGCAGTCTCACACAGTGCCTGACTCATCAGGGACTCTAGAGGAAGTTTAAACGCAGAGTGTAATTTATATTATGGCTGAGGTGTCTATCTTTCTTATATACGAAAGCAGAGTAAAGATGTATGAGCAGTAAAAGTAGGATATTAACGAGTGCTTATTGCTACAGTATCCGATATGGCAAAGTCTTGTATATATTCCTTGCTCACTTCCAGAAAGAATCTGTAATGGGTGACCACACCGACAAAGACATTAATACAGAGAAACCTAGAACTAGTAAAGTAAGTCAAAGGGGAAGAGTCAGGCAGATAGCGTGGGAAAAGAGAAAACAAGGAGCAGGGGACGTGAGGAGCCTGATGATACATAGGCCAGGGAGGGCCGTGGCCGTCAGGCTGACACTGAGCTCACAGACTCTGCAGCTGAGGCACGGGACGAATGGCAGGGTTTATCATATTTCCTTTGTCCTGGGCTCTAATAGCGTTGGTAGAGTGAAGCAGACATGGTAACGCTTTATTTTTGTGTGTGTCTGTTATTTTACTTATACAGATATTATTTGTGAAGCCACCTACCAAAGGCCAGGCACTGTCTTAGGTACTGGGGGTTCCGTGATACATCCCCGGCTCTCCCTGGGTGTACGGTGTAGAGAGAAGGAAGACATCTAAGCCACATGGCAGTATGAGGGGTGACATGATAAGGAAGGTCTTTGGTCTGATGAGAATAAGTAAGAGCAACCGTCTAGGGAAAGTGAAACAAGTCTCTCTGGAAGAAGTGCGAAAGGAGATGAAAATTGTTCAAGGCTGGGCAACCCTCTCGGGTCCCCTCTTTGAGAGCTTTTTACTCTATCATTCAATAAACTTTTACTGTCACTCAGTAAATCTTGCTTTGCTGCCCCATCCCCAAAGAAGGAAACTGTTCTCAGCTAAGAGCACGTGCAGACATCCAGAAGTAAGAGAGAACATGGTATATTTGCGTGAGGTCAAGCTGGAGGACGGCTTGCGGGAGGGAAAGTGGCGAAAGAGCTGAGGCCAAATCTCAGAGGGGCCGTACTGGCCTTTTAAAGAACTTGGATTTCATCCCAAGCATGAGTCAAGCCCTGAAGGGCTGTCATCGGGGGATGGCATGTTTGCATTTTGTAAGCGCCTGTCGCACCGCTCTGAGAGAGATGAGGGCAGTCAGAGCCCATAGGAACACGTTAGGGGAGAGCCGAGGGTGTGCTGGGCTGGGAGTGGTGGGCACGGTAGGTACTTAGAAGGGGAGGGTAAAGGCGAAGAAGGCAGAGATGACCCCCAGCTTTCTGGCTTAGGCACCTGGGGCCGGGGGTGCTCTTCCCTGGGAAGTCGGTGGTAGGGGCCGCAGAGGAGATGCTCCACTCCACGTTAGCTCAGTGCCGCGCATAGGAGTCTCGGGCCGCGGTCAGCTGGAGGTGTTCGACGGGCAGTGGGTCACGCAGATCTGGCCCGGGTCCTCTCCCGGACCGGCAGGCTGGAGCTGTCAGCACTGAGGCGGCAGTTATGGCAGTTAACGACATGGCAGTGGCTGAGCTTTTCCTCCAGAGGCTGCAGCCTGACGAGAGCGAGGAGCCCAGGACCCAGCTAGCGTGAGGCAGGGGGCGGGGCTCTCGGTAGTGACTGAGGACGAGTTCCCAGGGAAGGAGAGTCCGGCTCCCAGAAACCAAGGAAGGCAGTAGTTCTGGAAGAGTGCTGGACGCTACCGGGACAGCAAGTTAGATAAGGCTGGAAAAAGATACTGAGACCTAACAAAAACGGTGCCATTTTACCTTGTTAAAAAAGAATGCTGTCATTAATGTATCTAATAAGCACCGAAGATGAAGGCAGAGTCCTTGGGGGGGCGGTGCGTAGGCCGTAGTCTCTTACCCACGCGCCTCTGACCTGCATGGATGGAAATGGACGTGAATCCTGAGCGGCTGTGCCCCGTGGTAACGAACTGCTCGGATTTCTTTAAAGCTAGAGCTGGACGGCGAGCGAGTCGAACTGCCCAACCTGGAAGGCATCATAGTTCTGAACATCGGCTACTGGGGCGGCGGCTGCAGACTGTGGGAAGGGATGGGAGACGAGACGTACCCTCTCGCCAGGTGCGTGCATGGGTGGCCGCTTTGGGGTGCCGTGTTTCCTTTAAAGCAGCTCGGCCCGTGTTCTCTGTAAGCTCTTCGTATTTTCTCTAAAGGGTTTTCTGGTTTGCCTACCTCATTAATAGGAATATTTAACCAGTTGGTTGTCCACCTCCGTGAGAACATAGTTGTCCTCACGGGGCTGATTTTCCTCCATTGCCTCACGTAGTCCGTGTTTCTTCTGTCCACCCGTAGGCATGATGACGGTTTGCTGGAGGTCGTTGGCGTGTACGGCTCTTTCCACTGTGCTCAGATCCAAGTGAAACTGGCAAACCCCTTTCGAATAGGACAGGCACACACAGTGCGGGTAGGTGGGATGTCGCTCTGTGCTTCATACGTGCGGAGACTACTTGTCCGAGTCCGTTTCTAAGCCACTGATCCAGATCTGCCCACTACAGCTTGCCTCGCACGGTGCTTTACAGCCGCGCTGTTGCTCAGCCTCCACCAAGGCTTGGGTGTGATGGGGAGGAAATCGGAGGTGTGGGAGAAACAAAGCTTTCCATGGAAAAGAATCCCTTAAACAACTGATGAGTAAAGGTATATTCAGATTAGTTCTCCGAGAACGAAATGCTGAGACTTGTCCCTAAGAGGGGTTAAGGGACTGTGGATGATAGTACTAAGGAAGACCTTTCTGAACTTTAGGGGAGTGACTTTCTTCTCGTTCTTTGTTCCCTAATACCAGTTGATTTTGAAGTGCTCCATGATGCCAATGCAGGTAGATGGGGAGCCGTGGGCCCAGGGGCCCTGCACCGTGACCATAACTCACAAGACGCACGCCCTGATGTTGTATTTCTCTGGAGAACAGACGGATGAGGACATCTCCAGTACTTCAGATCAAGAGGACAGGAGGGAAACCGAGTTGACGGATGAGGAAATGCAAGTTTAGAGGAGAACCCTCACACACACGGAGATACATGGTCGTCCAAAAGTTAGAAATTCCCTATCAACTGTTTAGTCTTAATTTCACCAGTAGTGTAATGGGTATACGTTTATGTAAATAGCATTCCAGAAACGGCCAAATTTCCAGTTGTTTACAGACACCTGTTCCTTTTTCAGCAAAACACCCCAGTCGTATTGAACTAACTTTAAAAAGTCACAGAACGTTAATTACTCAAAGGTGAGGTATTTCTTGGGGCTTTTTGTTTGAGAGTGGGACTCACTCTGAGCCACGCGCCCTCATTCCTTATTCTCGAATACACAGTTGATGGACACATTACACGTCCAGCAAGATGTAGGTGGAAAAATCATTGCCATCTTAATTCTTAACGTGGTGACACCATAACATTTTAAAAATGAACCTGCTTTTTTGAAAGGAGATGATTCGTGTCAAACCAGCACGGGTAATGCAGGTCCTCCTCCTGCAGCTTGTCTCCAAAGACTTCCTGCAGCCCAGCGCTGAGTGGATCCGTAAGGATCTATTTCTAGGAAACCTACAAGGAGAAGTGTTAAAGAAAGACAATACTTAAATTTTCTGTTATAATTTTTATCTTGAGAGCATTTTCAGACCGCCAGATGTTGCTTGCTTAACCCTGTTAATGACCACATTGAGCTGGAATTCAGCGTCTCGTTTATAACCCCGTGTAGCCAGAAGACCACCACATAGGTGAACTGGTAAAGATTAACATTCAGAGCACTTTGGATTGAAAGTTAGGGTTTCTGAACTGGACAGTTGACCAGTTTCTCCTGAGTAAAAGACAGTATACACAATTCAAAAAAGTACTACAAAAAATTTATTAGTCATAGTTATTGCTCAAAAAAAGTTCAATAATGATTGGTAACTTCTAAAAGTTCAGTGGTCTTGTAGTATTTTGAAGTATAGTAGTCCTTTATATCCAGAGTACTTAACAGAAATCCTCTTGGGGAAGCAGACAGAATCCTGTGCTAAAATGTTTATATCATATTTATTTTATAATGAGAGAGATATTTTTTTATTTATTTATTTTCTTCATTGTGGTATACTTGTGTTTAGTGTTTACAATATATGGCTTTATTTAATAAGTTAAATTTATCACATAAATTTATCACAAAAATATCAGGGGTGCCTGGGTGGCTCAGTCGTTAAGCATCTGCCTTTGGCTTGGGTCATGATCCCAGGGTCCTGAGATCGAGCCCCGCATCGGGCTCCCTGCTCAGCAGGAGGCCTGCTTCTCCCTCTCCCGCTCCCCCTGCTCGTGTTCCCTCTCTCGCTGTCTCTCTCTCTGTCAAATAAATAAATAAAATGTTTAAAAAAAAATTTATCACATAAATTCAGCTAGTCACAATCAGAAGTATAGCCTGTTGACTAATTAACACCCATAATTTAATTCTCCTGACATATATGTTATCCAGATATTCTCATTCTTCAGAAATATTACTCAATATTTTTTTAAAAAGAGGGGAATGAAAGCACTGGCAAACAACTTTTGCGTAACTGAAAGTTTCATTTCATTCTTTTATCTGACCCCTCATTTGCCAAGAACTTATTGAAGGGCTAGTCTCATGGTTCCCCATTAGAGGGCGCGCTTCTGGTGTGAACCAGCCTGCACCCTCAGGCCAGTGAGGCCGACCCACTGGGCCTCCAGCCTGCTGTTTTCCTAACAAATGGCCCATTCTGTGGGCTTGGTGGTCTTTCATGACGTTAATCTCTGAAAGACTAGAATGTATCCCCCAAAACACCATTAGCTTCCTTTAAGGATCTGTATGGATCTGTCATCCATGAATTGCCATAAACTTAAATTTCATTCACCCTCAGACTGAGGCCATGCCTTGAAGGAAAAACTTAGTAGTGATACAGTAGTCAGTGCATCATTATATATATAAAATACTTTTTTTCTGCTTAAATTAACCTCTTCCTGATCTCAACAGGAAATGCTAAATTCTAGTATTGAAAGATTTTGTGAGCAAATCTGTTTCCACCTTTTTCATACAGCTTCGTCAAGGTTGATGGAAGAGTTTTATAGATTTTTCTTTTATGGACTGATCATGTTTTGAGAATAACGAATTTTATTCCTTAACTCATGATCAACATTGTTACAGATGTCACATTTTATAAATATCCTGTTAAATTCACTTCACTTTAGGCCGTAATTTATCTATAATAATTCCATAGTGCTAGTTGTAGAATCAAAGTAGATAGTTTGGGATATCAGAATTAAAATAATCAAAATAACTATCTTTTTGGTTAAAACCATACTCTAACCATAATGTTACATTGGATTTAGAACAGATCTATATATAACACTCTTGTGTATTTAAACAAATTGTTTTTTCAATTTTCATAATCCAGTGAGGTTTTTTTTCACCTACTGACTCTTCATGAAGATTTTTCCCTTGCCTTACTCAGTCATTCAGACTTCATTTTCATTTGGGAAAGTTATTTCTGAATACCATATCATAAAATACCATTTTAGCAAAGTCCATTTACTTTTTAGGCACATGTACCCAGCATTTCAAATAAATGGGTAGGCATAGGTCTTGTTTTAAATAAGGTCAGTTCACAAGGCTCCTGTTTGCAGGTTACACATTAGAGTAGCAGACGTCGACGTCACCAGGGATTCTGTACTTCGCAAAAAATAATTTGCCATAATATTTTCCTGTTCCATTTTAAATCATCTTGACTTAAACACAATAACAAATTCTACATTCTCAGGAAGGAATACATGAAGTAAAGCATATCTCCATGTCTGTCTTTAGATTTCTCTCATCCTTTGCTGTCCTGGTGCATTCCCAACTCCTTCAGCTTAGTGGCTTAAACACGGAGTACCTGGCAGCTCGTATGGATCCCATAAGTAGATGATGACAATTTCAGTGCTCTGTTATGTTCAGTAGAAATCAAACTGACTTGTGTTTTAAGATACAGGTTGTCTGATAGATTACATGATCTTAAATGAGTTTTAGGTTTTCTGCAACAATTAGCTGTGAACCCTTAACGTAGCTGATGTTTATAAAAATTTTATAGTCAGAATTATTTATTTTTATTATTGTAGGGTGTGTCAAAACATGTAGTATTTGCTTTTTGAAATATGTTTGCCTACTTAGAGTTGTAAAATATTCTGTGACTCAGAAATTGTAAAGTCGGGGCACCTGGGTGGCTGAGTCGTCAAGCATCTGCCTTCGGCTTGGGTCATGGTCCCGGGGTGCTGGGATCGAGCCCCGCATCGGGCTCCCTGCTCTGCGGGAAGCCTGCTTCTCCCTCTCCCACTCCCCCTGCTTGTGTTCCCTCTCTTGCTGTGTCTCTCTCTGTCAAATAAATAAAATCTTAAAAAAAAGAAAGAAACTGTAAAGTCGTTTGACATACTATCAGCATGTCAAAAGAAAAATAGTTTGCATTTGTAATATAAAGCAAAATTGTATTTACTGTGTATTATGGAATTTTAAATTTGCACTAACTAGAATACTTTAAAGGTTTATTAATTTACAGATTCATGTGGATCCGAATACATAATCTTTACTTGTTCGGCCAAAAAGGTCAATAGAATAGGTGATAGTTTTGCATGGTTTTTCCTTGAAATGATAATATTGAAGCAAGAACCAGCACTTCATATTCGGAGGTTTTTTTAATTCTACCTAATTTGGGACAATGGAATGTAAGTAGATTTATTTTAAAAAATAGGAATTTAAAAAGAAAAAAGAGAGTTCTTAATCTGTCCCAGTCTGAATGAAGGTATGTTTTCAGCAACAAGACGGAAGCAGTGGTTTTGGTTTTGCTTTTAAAATATGCCCCTGCCTTTCTCAAATTTTCCTTTTAAGGCCTGTCTCCTGTTTCTCAAAGTGTGATCACGTTGCCTGCAGCATCACAAACCCCTCGGCGCTGACAGCCTCTGATGCCGAAGCCCAGCCCCTGACTTGAGGAATCAGTGTCTCGGGAGATGGGACAGAGACATCTCCAGTTTTATTCACAGGCACCTCGGGTGCTCATGATACACACCTGACATTTTTCAAGCGACTGGTCCATACCTCGTGTTCACCCAGGGCTTTTGCTGGATGCATACCTTGTAGAAAAACTGAAATGGATGTTCTTAAAGTTGTTTTTCCTTCACTCCACTGTGTTCTTCCCCCCAAATCATTCTTCTAGAGGAATTCTATGAACAGTTTGTTCCTATCCTCTCCAAATTCACGTATCTGTCTAGACTCAATTACGTAAAAATTGGTAGCCTCAGATCCTTCCATGGAAACAGGTTTTGGACTATGATGTATGGAGTCTCAGAGAACAAGCAGTGCTGGGGGCCAGTGGAGTGGACCCCCAGGGGCTCCTGCTTTCTCACTTCACTCGGTGCAGCCCCCTGCTGGACGCTGCTTCAGATAAGATTTCGGTAGATAAAATTCTTCCTCTTTTTGAAAAAAAAAAAAAAGGATTCCACTATTTTTTTAAGGGTTTGGAAGCCACTATTCTAATGACTTTTATCACCTGTTTCATTTTCTGCTGATTTGTACATATTCAGAAACCTCATGTTTTCTTGTGAAAAATACTTTGGTGGTCTCGGTTGCTGCTTGGAATATGACTATTGGGCTATTTCTCAAGTTTTAAAGGCATTTTGTTGAATAGTAAAGCACTGGCTTAACCTCCGTTCCTCCCGTTTCTAATTTTAGTATAGAAATGGTCTGAGTATTTAGTTAATTTTAGTTCTGTAAATACACACATGTTTACCCCCACAGCCCTGACTATAAGTCAGTGCATGAGGCTTGCAGGTATCAAAAAGGTACATCCCAAGGATCTGGAGAAAGAATCCAAAAATGTCCCTCTCTCATACAGAAGTTCACAAAACTTAAATGATTGAACCTAGTCACCTGCAGGAAACGTGAGAAGAAAGCGAGTCACCTAGAAGCTGTAGATACGAGTGTATTGCTGATGCTAGACACTTCTCCATCTCTGCGGCTCACTTCCTGGGCTGCCTCACCACTAAAGGGAAGTGTCCACGCAGAACGCCCTGAGCAAGATAAACCGTAGGAAATGTCCACTGTGTGGTGCTTTTTGGTGACCAATGTGAGAAGTTAGAAAGGAGAGCTGGGAAGTTAGGTTGCTGCCCTCGTTCCCCTCACACTGTCCAGGCAACAGGGCATCCGTCATGTACGCAGACTGCGCCACGTGTGAGAACATTCCTGCCAGAAGGGCGGCCATGCTAT